AGCCAGTATCCGGACGCGCGTACGGCGTTGGCGTGCCGCTTCCCCGCAGCGAGCCAACTCCACGAGCCCTGCGTGGCCCGGCGGCCTCCACGCGTAGAGGAAAGGAGATTATCTGGTGCCTCCGGAGCAGTGACGGGTCGGACGCGCTCCGCAGGCGCCACGGCAGGGGCGAAGCCACCATCCGCAGGACGTTTCTCACCCCTTCCCTCGGCATTTCCTTCGCGGTGAGCCTCATCGCTGGCAGTTTGCTGGGAGCCTGCAGACTCCGTGGCTCCGGTTGGGAGGGAAACCGGGGACTTCTGGACGCAGCAGGTCAACCCTTGTCGCTGCAGTGGTTTTTGCACAGTGCAAGTTCTGTTCTCGGCCAGCTAAACCGCACCTCGGCAGCAGCCACTTGGAAGAAACCTGCCCTCTGGCTCTGCCTACCCCTTCCCCACACCCACCATGGATTTCAAGGGACAGAAACATTCATTATTCAGACAGGGAAGGTGTGGAAGATGGAGCAAGCTTTTCCCTAGACAGCTGGGACGAAGCTGTTTTGCTCAAAGCAGGATGACCTGCTGCCCCCTCCTTCTGTGACTCTCGTGCTCAGACCACGTGTGGTTACATGCCCAGTTCTGCAGGGACAGACAGACGAGCCACGGCCACACAACGTGTGCAGCTGCAGACGCACAGCAGCAAGTGTGCAAATTCTCCTGACCATCACCTTGCTGAATATTAGCGCGTTGGAGCGACATGAAAGCCCGCGGCTTGAACCTGGAGCCTCCCGGGCTGCTCGTGGAGCTCCCCGTGGGCAGAAGGACAGTGACTGTGGAAGTGACAGTGACCGCGATACCCCAGACCTCCCCACCAGCACCGTGTGCGTGGGTGGAAAGTGGTGACGTGAGTGACCTGCTCCAGGCTTGCTGGGACGTTGGAGATGTCCGTTCTCTTTCTTTCCTCTTCTCCCTATACGTGCAACCTTACGGTACGGCGGCATCCTGCCTGGCTCCTGTCATCTCCTCAAGCCCCTGTCCTCGGGATCCCCACCTCCCCTTGCCACCGAGTCGCCTTCTGCCTCTGCTTCCACCGGAGAGGACAGGGTCCGTGCAGAGGAGACGCTCTCCTACCTCCCTTGCCCAGGCTCGGGCGGTGCAGGAGCACGTACGCTGTTCTGCAGATGGACAGCTCGGGTCTCGCTGCCCCGTTGGAGGAATTTCAGTTTGGCACGGGGTAGGCAGCAGCTGGAGGGGTCCCCTGGTCTGGTCGAGCGCACAGAGCTGTAGGTGAGTCCTGACCGCAGTCCTTAAAGCAACCTACGCTCCAGCAAAACAGAGAAACAAAGACTAAACCAAAAAGCCCTGCTCAAGGGTCTTGCCTCATCCAGTCCCTCCAAGCTCAGGAGCCGTGTTTCTAACAGAGAAGCCAACCACTGGAAACAAAAATAAAATGTTCCTTTTCTGCAGCTTTTAGAGGATATAGCTGGGGAAAAAAAAAAACCCAAACAAACAAACAAAAAAGGAGATTGTCTCTCTTCCCCTTGTCAAAATCATCAGTAGCTAAGTCAGAAAAAAAAATATGTTCAAGTTATGGGTTGCAGCAGCAGCCAACACTAAACATTCAAGTCGATAATTTCACTATGTACATCATGGGTGAGACACGGCCCTGCCCGCTGGGACTCCCTTCTCCGGTGCCGCTGCCGCCAGCCGTTATCTGATCCGCTTCTCCACTGAGTACACCGAGATGTAGTAGTCGTTGCTGCCGACTGCCAGGTGAGGCTGCGGAAAGAGCAGAGCGGGGATGAGGTACAGGTGTCGCGCAGGGACGAGAGGCGCCACGGCCACGGTCGGCATTGCCAGCAGTGACGCCCGGATGCTCGGGAGCTCGCCAGTGCATCTGCCAGCGCAGCTCTGACGCCGTTTCTGCCAGCACCTACATCCTCCCAGTGAGTTATATGCCCATTTCAGCCAGAGGGGAAAAATTATGGTGACTATTAGTTGCCAACCGCTAACATAATTTCTCTAAATGACTGCAAATCTGATAGTTAGGAACAGTCGCCGGGCCGGAAAATCAGCATCGCCTCCCCCGAGAGGCCCAGGAACAATCCCAGCCGCGGAGACCCGGGCTGGACAGGGCTCTGTTCACTTGCTTATTTAAAGGGCAAAACATTTCAAATCATTGCCCACTTCTTTCTCCATCCCTGGAACCGCAGGACAGCAAAATCGCTCTTTAGCTTTGGGCAAAGCGGCTTTTCAGAGCCGAGGAGGAGACGAGCTTGCCTTTAACCTAGGGGGGGAAAACTGCCGCCCCCCTCCCTGCCCGGCTAACGCCGGATCGCAGGATGGCACCGCCCCTCCCTCCTCCCCGCCAGGCCCTCACCATTCCCACCACTCTCCCCCATCACATATTAAACGTTTGTGTCTGGATCCGCAGGTCTCTGAAATAACTGCCTCGGTGCTGCCTTTAACCTCCTCCTGTTTTTCCCACCCACTCACGTTGGTTTTTTAGGCTTCCAGTCTCCTTCATTTATTCTCGTCCCCGGGGTGAGCAGAAGTCCATAATGCAGATGGGCACCTGCCTCCTAATTAGGTAGCAACCAGCTCCCCTCTCTAATGACTACGGCAGAGCCACCTCGGCTGTGACACACCCCGACATTGCCTTTCTGCTCTGATTCATTCTAGACTTCCCCAGCTGATGCCTGCGGATTTTGCAGTTCTCTCCTTTTTCTGACGCGCGGTTTTCCCCCCGCACAGCATCAGGGCTTCCTAAAGCCTTACATCAGGCAGCGTAAAAGCAGCCCCAGAGGCGCAGGGGTGAGCCTACCGTCTGCGAGAGAAGAGGCATGGAATAAATAAGCACAGGGAATTTTGCGTGCTGGAAGCGAGAGACCGCACCTCCCCAGTAAGCTCCAGGCAAGTTCACCTCGGACAACTTCTGTGGCGAGAACTACAGAGCTACGCCAGGCTGCAGTCCCAGAGCGATGGAAAGAAATGGGAACAGTCTATCAAGTCGATCCGCCAGTAAAAAGGGCCCAACCGGTGGGAATCCTGCTCTATCCACATCATAAACCAGCAGCACCGCCGGTGTGGTCGTCTGGGACAGCCTGGAGGACAAGCCCTGAAGGACCTGGGCCGAGGTCAGGCTCAGAGCATCCCCAGAGGACCAGGCTGGGGCAGCTTCCCTCTGTGCTGGAGGAGCCTCTGCACCTTTCCCCCTTCCGACACGGACATTAATGAAGACATGCAAATTCCAGAATCCAAACCCAGGGAATACAGACCCAGTGAGGATGGAAAGCCAGGCAGCTGATGGCTCCAACTCTCTGTCCCATAAAACCATCGTAGTATTTGATATTGTTGATCAGCTCCCCGTTTCCATTGTAGATCGCAGTGAACTGATTCATCGAGCCACTGGAAGGGAATCAAGAGCACACGGGGTCACCGCGGATGCTGTGGTAACACCACCGCCGCCGCCCGCAGCCCCCCTGTTATCAGAGAAGTGGCAGTGAGTCCCTGTACGTGGGGAGCCTGGCTTGAACCGTACCTTGGCAACCTCGGGGCAGAGCGATTTACAGAAGGGCCGGAACCGCCGTTACCTGTTACACGGCAGGACCGAGTGGAGAACCATGAAGGGGGGATGCACGCGCTCACCGAGAGCAGATCCCCCGACAGCCCCAGGACACGCGGCTGTGGAGCACTTGCTGGTCCCTACTCAGAGCCCAAAACCACACGTGCCCGGGGATCTGACACAGGAGTCCCAAGACCGCGCGCCCTCGCTTTGAGCCACCGGTGCAGAGGTTTCACTAACGCATGCCAGGGATAAAACTCCTGAGCTGCAAAGATGGGAAAGCAGCTGCGCCGTTTGTGGCGAGGTCAGAACAACCAACAAACCCAACAAAACCCCAGGAATGATGTCTGCAGAGACAAACTGCCCCCTCCGCCCGTCCAGGGATGCAGGCGATGAAGCTAAAACTTACCACGCAAAGAGGTTGGCTTGCGGGTGAATGTCGAGGGCCGTCAGCCCTTTCACTATCTGAAGGACCTTCATGGACTCCGGCATCCGGGGGTCGAAGAACCGCACGTCTCCGTTTACACTGCCAACACAGGAGTTTCACAACGTCAGGCCCAGACCAGATCCGAAAGCCCAGGGAATCGAGCCACGTGCCCGCCTGTGAGCTGAGCGCCTGGATCGGCGAAGGCAGCCAGAGAAGACGCGCAGCCTGGTCTCCTCCGCCAGCACGGCTGCTCGCCCACCGGCGCCGCGTGTCTTTGGTGCGCATTCGGCGCTGCGCACAGCTCTGCCCCTGCCCCCAGCACCGATCCGTTACCGCGTGCATCGCGTACAGCTCGTCGCCGAGTGCCAGGGCCTTTGCTCGTGTCATACTCCATGCACCACGCTGCACGTCAGACCCAAATTCCTTCTCCTTTTCACAGTGGGAAATTGTATTAGGCAACTCTAACCAGACGGGATCTGCCGGCACTGCCCGCTACGCCAAACGCCTGGACACAGCCCACGGCCCTTGCTGTCCAAAGAACGCTGTGGGCCAGGCGTGGCAAACCCTGCCAAGGCTCGGGCGATGCCTCAATCCCATCGATGACTTTATCAGGGAAGAGAGGGTGGGGAAGGCAATGGTGGCAATGGCAAGATATCGTGCTTGGTGGGTCAAGCACCTTTCGAACTCCAATGATTTCTCTTTTTTAAGTGATCTCCCCGAAGCACAGCACTGAATCCCCCGTTAGATGCGAAGCGGGTGCATCTTTTCCCGCAGCCCTGGGACCGAGGATGGAAGATTTTGCTATGGTACATCTGCCCTTCCGAGCTCCTTGTAGGGGACTGGTCAACTGACGTACAGAGAGACAAACAGAAAAGTCAAGGCCAGGTTGGACGGGGCTGTGAGCAACCTGATCTGGTTAGCGGTGTCCCTGCTCACTGCAGGGGGGTTGGGCTGGATGGGCTCTAGGGGCCCCTTCCAACCCAAACCATTCTATGATTCTGTGAAAAGTCTCCTATGCAAATGAAATTCAAAATTAGCTCATCCGATCTTGTTCTGCTGGCAGCAGATGTGAGGCTTTGGGCACCACAACTTTGAAGGTGTTACAGTTTGTTTCCAAGGCACCGATGGCCATACAACCGTGAGTCACCCCATAGTTAAGGGAAGCATAAGGAAGCGTATTGCCTTCGGTTTCTTTACCTCTGGAGTATCGAATGCTGACGGAAGGCTGTCATACAGGATCGCTTACAGCATTACGAGAAGCTGCAACTCCATCTGTCACACAACTCAATTCAAGACAAATCAAACCTGAGGTTGATTTAGGTCCTAAGGACAGGATGGCAATGTTGAGAGAGATCAAATGTACAGGAAATTCATTTAAAGCTTTGAACCTTGCCAGGACTCGCAAATGGTTCTGAGTGTACTGGAAGACCAGGCAAGAGCTTTAAAATGGAAGTGAAGTTCTGTGGCGAGGGACTGCACAGGCAAACACGTCCCAGCTGAACAGTAACGGGCAACAGCAAGCCAACAGCTACGCTACCAAACCAGGATCTTCGGAGGGTGGTTAAGGACCTTTTCGAGCAACGCTGGCAGCCTGGTAAAAGCAGAGCTGACAGTTAATGAGAAGCACCATCGCACAGACCAAAGCGGCTGAGCGCAGCGCGACGTGGTGAACCAGTGGCGGACAACGGAGAGGCGCAGGGTCCGGCCCAGAGCCACAGCCCTGCCTTACAAACTCCTGCCTCTGGTCCAGAGAAGAAGTTTCTCTGAGGGTCACAAGCAATGAGATGCCTTCAAGGTTTTCAGGAAATAGCTGGAGCGAGACCTCGCTACGTCCTAACATTTGCTCTTCTTGGATCTTGCCGTCAACCGAAGGCGAGAGTGAACTGGGAGAAACGGAGAGCAAGGTGGCTTCTCTCGACAAACATCATCCCTTTGGGATGAGACTGGACCTGTCCTTTGAGGTACGACATTCTCTCATACCTCTTCAACCCCAAGAGAAAGCACCACGGGCTGAGAAGGGCACCGAGGAGAGGGGCAGAGCGAGCCTTCAGACCCAGGCTGGCCAAGCGTACGGGCCTGACCCCCGGGATTGCTGGGACAGGATTACAGGAAGGAAGATTAAAAACTCTAATATGTGAGCTCGACAAATCTGGCAGCTGCACCGCATAATCCCCTTCCTGAAAGTCTTAATACATTTTTGCTGGCCCAGCCCCCACCTCAGGAATGTTCTGAATCCCAGAAAATTATGTTTTGTTTTCGTTTTGTAATCAAGAAAAAGAGCCTCTTTGTGTGCAAACAGTGGCTTTGTGACAATAAATTATATTCTGCTGCTCTTTAATGGCCCAGTAAGTATATGCTGCTCGCTCTGCAGTATTTACCAGGCAGCAGAAATGGATTTCTGTGTAGGAAATTGCTAGACAGCAAAGCAATCCGGCGCAGCAATATGCCCGACAGATGCAACATCAACCTTCCTTCTCATGTTCTCTCTCAAATGACCCCACGGAGATGCTGGCAATAAAGAACAACCATAAGATATACTATATCTAGCTTAGGTTTCTGGTTCACTCGATTCCTCCCTCACACGCCTCGTGACAGTGATTTCAGCAGAGACGCCTTCGTGTTTACTCTCAAACCTCACTAACAGGCTTCCAAGGAAAGCTTCACATTTCTTTTTGCCTCCTCTCCCCCAAGTTCAGAGCAGGAGTTAATTACTGAACCAAACGTCCAACTAAAGAGCTTTTCCCTCTTCGCTCCTGAAATACCAGAGGCAGATTTTAAATAGAAAAGCAAACCCTGTTTAAAAGAAAAGAGCTCAAACAGCGAAACCTCTCTTACCTGACACTCATGATGTTGCCTTCAGGATGTTTCTGCAGGTATGCTTTCACCACCCAGGCCGTGTGCTCTCGGTAGGTCATGACACGGCTGAGGAACAAGCAGAGAAACGTTTTGAAGGGAAGGAGGAGGACGTGTGAGGACCCCACCAAACCCGGGAAGGAAGGGCGGTTACCACTCGCTCAGAGCCATCCTCCTGTCGAACACGCGGATGGAGCCGTCACCCAACCCCGCCACGATTAAGGAACGATGGGAATCGCACGAGAGGCTGGTCACACAGCTGTCGGCTCCGGTGGGGATATCCTAGGAGAAAGCACACAAAAACCAAGCTGAGACCATGACGCATCTTCAAGTCTAGAGCCCCGGAGAGCAGGCACGAGTGTCAAGGTGCCAAACCAGATGGACCCCATGTCCTCCTCCTCCTCCTCTCCCCACCCTGTAAATCAGTCCAAAGCCTTCACCCATCACTCAGAACACCGTGACACTGTCTCAGTGTGAAGTTTTCCCTCAGGCTCTCTGGACACAACCAGAAGGGACGGGGGGGTGACCCTGGGGATGACGGTCACTGCCGCTGCCGTGCGTTGGAGCCACAAGTCCTGCCGATCGACCCAAAGAGCCAGGCCCAGGGGGGGAATTCCAGCAAAAACCAGCTTTTGCACATCATTCAGCTTTGTAAACCCAAACGGAGGCAAGGTCTGCTTTGGGAAGGAGGGGTTAATATTACTCTCTGCTAAGAATATCTAATTAGCTGAAATACGTGGCCAGAGGAGTTACTTCTCCATAAACATGCGCAGGCTGTGAACGCCGCTGGAGCGGCAGGGGGGGGGGGGGGTGGTTGGGGGGGGGGGGGCAGACACACGCACCTCTAGAGGGCAAAACGTCGTACCGGCGCGTATAACAGCACGTATAAACCCAAGCATACGGTATGCTACGGGTAATACTGCCCGTGCAAAAAAGGTGCAAAGCTGCAAGGTATCAGCCCTTCTTGTGCAGCAGATCGACACCCAAATAAGTCCTAGGAAGTTATTTAAACGCCTCTCGTGAAAGGAGCTTGCTTTTTTTGTTCTGTCTGTGCCAGACAGAAATTTACTGGGCCCCTAGAAACAATAAAATGATTTTCCCAGAAGGTAGCTCCTTTTACCCGGAATGGCTCCAGTTATCATCGATGAAACCCATTTCTTTCAGCTTCTTTTTTTTTTTTTTTAATTTTCTTTTTTAAACACTTGGTGCTCTTCCTCCTCAGGGCCACGACTGCAGCCCTGCAGAGCCCCGGGGGGGGGTCACAAATGGGCCAAGCTGAGCGCCACCTCCCCCTTGGCCGCGGGCAGTGGCGAGGCAGCTCGGGGGCTCCTGAACAAGGTCGGGGCCCCGCCGGGGACGCGCGGCTGGTAGGCTCAGGTCATCGCGTTAGACGCCAGACACCGCCTGCGCTAAAAACAACGGCACAGGCAAAGGAGACCGGAGCTCGCAAGGAGAGCTGTGCTGGAACACGCGGTGCGCTCTGCCTTCCCCCTTCCTGCTCGCTACGGGCAAAAGAATTGCGTGGAATAACGTCTGCGCCTGTTGTGAGGAAAAACATTTTCAATTAAAATGGGTAAAAAAAAAAAAACCAACCCCTAAGCAGCACCGAAAAAGCAGGGCGACAATCAGGAGGCGCGTGAGAGCCGCCGGAGCCGATTCCACACTTCAATCCCGTTTTTGCTTCCGTGCCCGTTCACCTTCCCCAGCTGCTG